TGCCTCATCCAGGAAGAGCGCAATGATAATACCAACATGGGCCAGTGAAGCAACATCCTCCACAACTAGACTGAAGAACAAAAGGACAGCAACTTGTGTTTCCCTCCCCCAATTCCCTAATAAAATCTAAAAAAAAGTACAAATTGGTTGTTACACAGTAGTCATGGAGATGTAGGATATAGCATAAGGAATATAGTCAATAATATTGTAAAAACTATGTATGGTGTTAGATGGGTACTTAGATCTATTGGGGTGATAGATGGGAGAGGGGTTGGGGGGCAGGGTGAAAAAGGTGAAAGGATTAAGAAATACAAATTGGTAGTTACAAAATAGTCATGGAGATGTAAACTTTAGGGAATATAATCAATAACATGGTAATAACTATGTATAGTACCAGGTGGGTACTAGTCAGGGAGATCAGTTCCTCAATTATATAAATGTCTGCTATGCTATACACTTGAAACTAATATAAAATAATATTGAATGTCAACTCAAATTGAAAATTTTAAAAAGGGGCGGGGGGGGGAAGATAAAAAAGAATAAGAGGTTTGAAGTTCCAGATATAAAACAAAGAAGTCTTGGGGATGTAATATACAGCATAGGAAGTATAGTCAATAATATTGTGATAGAATGGTACAGTGTCAGATGGTTGCTGGACTTATCATGGTGATCACTTCTTTAGCATAGGGAATATAATCAATAATGTGGTAATTACTCTGTATATAGTGCCAGGTGGGTACTGTTGAATAGTTATGATGTATACCTGAAACTAATATACCATTGTATGTTAGCCATATTTTAATAAAAAATCTAAACATCTTTGGGAGGCACTTCCCATTTGTCTGGAAATCTCTTAAGCTGCTTTCAGTTACAACAGAAGGGCAAGGTTTTTATCTGCTCACACTCTACTCCATTGAAGGCAAAACAATTCTCTTTTAAATTTTAGTCGTTTGAAAACAGTGTACAAACAAAGAACTTCATGTTAACACACAAAATATACATGTATGCTGTGAAAGTAAATGTTTTAATTTTTTTAATTAAAGAATTATTTTTATTATCCTTCTGCAAAGAAGTTATAAAAATACTGTAAAAACATTGAAAAGATACTGGAAAATTCTGAATTGAAAAATTCAAAAGTATAAACTATGATACATCTTCTGTGATTTACAAATAATATAATTCTTTTAAGTTAGAATGATTTTGATAGATATTTACTTGGAAGAACAGGGACATCAAACCTTAAAATTTTCAATTTTAACCCCAACTTAGATTTTGGAGAAGCTATAATTTGTTGACAGGCACAGTCCACATAAGCACTTGCTGCTATCACTAAGATTAAGCTGAAGAACAGAGATGTGTATGCTTAAATGTGTCAGGCTCTTCGATACAACTGACCGAAGTGGTCTTCTCTTATTTTTCCCCTTATGTTATAAATAGAAGTAAATATACATATGGTAAAAAATTAAAATGGTACAGAAAGATCTAAAATAACAAGCAAATATCCTTTTCTGCCGTAACGCAACACATTAGATGTCTTCAGAATCACCAAGCAGTCATATGAATTATTTACAAACTGAAGTCAACCTTGGAGTCTCTTTATTTGAAAAGAATTCTCAGGCCTCTGGAACCATGTTGATTTTCTTCTATATTGCCTCTGTTGCAAAGGAAAGCCATGCAGTCTGCTCCTTCTTAAAAAAGTCAATTACAAAATCAACACGCACGCTCTACTCATGGACAGCAAGTCCAGGCCGCACCTTGGACTCCACGGATCTGGCCCCAGCTCCGGACAGAGTCCCTGGTATCATCCCTGAAATTAGGGAATCACATTTACTAACAAGGAGTTTTCAAAAGTAAGAAAACTTTCTCTTAATCAAAATGAGGTCATATGGTCCTTGTAAAACAGAGAGGCTTAACTCTGACAGAGCTTTGGGTTTTCTGGTCATTACTTAATAGAAAAATATCTTTATTTAACATTGTACAAAAGGGCATTAGCCAAAGAGTCCCAAATATTCAGGATAAAACCAGACCAAACCTTTCCTTGAGAACAAAGGTAAGGCAAGACGGCAAGGGACTAAGGATGGAGAAGAGAAATTCCTCCATAGAAACTCCCACTCAGTGATAAGAAGCGGGGTGCCACCCCACACCAGCCCCTGCCCACTCTCTGGTGAGCAGGAAAGGCTTACGGGGACTGGTGGCATCTCAGCCAAGCCCTTCCTCAATGCCTCGGATCCTCCTGGCCAGCTGCACATCCTTCGGGAAGAGAGTAACTCGGCCAGCATGGAGGGAGAGGAGATAGGCGTCCTCAAAGAGATGAATTAGAAATGCTTCTGCGGCCTGGGGGCAGAAAGAGAAGTAGAAAGACACAGGCGAGGGGATGGGCTGCTTTTTTCACTGGAACCTGTAAACCAGCGCTTCTCAACCTGTGGGTCGTGACCCCTGTGGGGGTCGAATGACCCTTTCACAGGGGTTGCCTAAGACCATCGGAAAACAAAAAGATATTTACATTACGATTCATAACACTAGCAAAATTACAGTTATAGAGTAGCAACGAAAATCATTTTATGGTTGGGGGTCACCACAACATGAGGAACTGTATTAAGGGGTCGTGGCATTAGGAAGGTTGAGAACCGCAGCTAAACTTAGCCTCTGAGGGCTCGAAGGACTATAGGAAAGACTGTCCAGAGAATGAGACTGAACTGAGTGGGTATTCTGCTACCGCCACACAAGATCCAGTCTCCAAACCCTGAGCATTCTTGTGGCTCTTTGCAAGGAGGCAAGATTCAGCGTGTGACATTGCACGGCCAGCCCTGTGGGATTCTGGAACACCTTTCTCCCATACTTACCCCTCACCCACTGTGTCTTGGTCCCCTTCTTACCTCTTGTAGGGCCATCAGGGCCTGGGCTTGCCAACTGAAGTCCACACCACGAGTGAATTTAACACATATTTCTCTTGCCTGTGAAGAAGTGGAGGATGGGGAGCAAGGGAGAAGGGGTGTGGGGAGGAGTAGAGGGTAAAAGAAGAGAGACTCAAGGGAAGAGAGACCCTCTCCTTGAGTCTCCATGAATTTTCGTTTCCATTATACCCTCCTGGCCCTTAATCTTAGGACCTAACTAGTAGTGGGTGTCAGCTCCTGGGAGCTTAGGAATCGGTGTGTCTATTACTGGTGGTGGGGAGAGGAGGATACACTCTCCCAGGGGAGGATAGGGATAAAACGGTGGCTGGATGACAGGGTTCCTATTTACATAATCAAAGAACACAGTTTCAAAGGTGGTGGGGGCTAGAAATTAATTCCATAAAGAATTGGAAGGTACGCTTGGCAGCCTCATGTTTTCAGAAGACGAAGAATCCCCTCCCAGGTTAGAGAAGGGGTCCCGTGGCCGTTTGGGTAAAAGATGATAGGGTCCCCTATACCTGGGCAATTTATAGAAAGGAGGCATGGGGATTGGCGGGAAGCTCCCTGGAGCTCACCAGGCGGCTGAAAGGGGCCTTCCTTAACAAAAGGTGTGTGCTCTTCTGAAGATTTCGGATCTCCTTCAGGACCAGACTTCTCCGGTGACGAGATCGACGACGGAAGGAAGGGCCTGAACAGAAGAGTTGGGTCATTCAGGTGAGGTGCAGTGGAAACTAGGTGGCCCCTCATAGCTTGGCTGTCAAACCATCAAATTGCAAACCACAGTTCAATCCACAAAAGCAGGGATTTTGTCTATTTTGTTCACTGTGGTTACTTTCAGCAACTGGAGAGAGACAGTAAATAAATACTTGTTAAACGAATGAATGATCTTTTCCTTTGAGGGTCTTACTGACTGTCAGTAACGATCCTTTATTATCTTAATAATAAAGGACATTATCTTAAATGCCAGCTCTTGAACCCAGCTTTCCTGACTCCCAAGCCTTTCCGAATTGATGGGTCACTTCCCTTCTCCGGGCCACACAGTAGCTGGTGTATCTCTTCTGTCTTCCCCAGTAGACTGGAAGCCCAGTTCTTTCATTTTTGTTTTTTTCAGAGCTGGAAGGAATCTGAGAGATTATCTAGTACGGTTCCGTTGTGTGGGCTATCTTTAAGCCCAGAGAGGTGAAGACAGTCGGAGCTCATTAGTGACCAAAGTGGGACCTCAGAAGTGGCTTAACTCATAACCAGGTCGTTAGACTATGGAGTCAGAGTCTTTGGCTCAAAGCCTAGTTCTAACAACAAAAAAGAAAAAAAAATCTTAAAAACATTCCCCAAAGTAGAAATCAAAAAAAGTCAAACTCTCTGATCAGAAATTAAAAATACAGGAATACAAAACCTAAGACTTCTTCTCTTGTGGTGAAGAGGAAATTTAATTGAAATGAGGCTATCTAGAAATGAGTAAAAATGAAGTCTACACCTCAAAACTTATGAGACAGAGCCAAATTGTACTAGATGAAAATGTATAGCTTCGGGCCGGCCAGGTGGCCCATTGGTTAAGAGCTGGCTTGGGACACCAGAGGGCCCCCGTTGGGATCCCACATATGAGGGCCAGTGACACTGCCCTCTACAGCTGAGATGCTGAACAGCAGCTCGACCTGGAGCTGGGCTGCTGTGGGTCACCGGCAACGGTGTAGGCTGCAACCCCTGCTGCAGTGGGTTGCCATGGGCTATGGTGTGTAGCCAGCAGCCAGTGTGAGCGGCCAACAGCCGCCGTGAGCGGCCCTCCAGAAGCCGGCGACTGATCTGCCTCATCGGGGAAGAGCGCAATGATGGTGCCAACTTGGGCCAGTGAAGCAACGTCCTCCACAACTAGACTGAAGAACAAAAAGGACAGCAGCTTGTCTGTTCTCCTTCTCCCAATTCCCCAGCACTGTTCCCATCCCCCCCCAAAAAAAATCTTAAAAAAGAAAATGTATAGCCTCAAGATCTATTTATTAGAAAATAAGAACATTAAAAGATAGCTGAGCTAAGTGTTCAACTCAAGTATTAGGAAGAGAATTATTAGAGTAAGCTAAAAGAAGGTAGAGCTAAAGAAACATTCAAGATAATAAAGTAAATTAATGAAAAAAGAGTAAAATAAAAAACAGGTATAGTTGCTCCACAAATTAAATCAAGGACCAATAAAAATGAATAGACCTCTGATAAGTAGAAAAAAGAGAAAAACACAAAACTAAAATTTTGAAGGCTAAAATCAGCTTCAGAAATGTTATTCAAGGTTCAGCAAGAAAAGAGAATCCACACCAAGTAGATCAATACAAGGGATTTAATCCTGTGAACTCATTACGAAGGGTTAGAAGAGCCAACGAGAACAGCGAGGCAATCCAGAGGTGCCTTATACTACGCAGCTGGCAGAGGAGACTTAATCCCGGGGTGTGGGGATGTGGACCAAAAAAATAGGGCAGTGCCCAGGTGGCATTTAGAAGAGGGGGCTCCATACCCAGGAGGCAAGCTCCGGGCACCTGCCTCCTTCATCAGCACCAGTCAGCAATCCAGTCGCAGGAGGCAGCCTTTAAGAAACAGACACAGCAGTCACAGAACACAACTAAAGGCCACCAAACAACTTAAGAAGGCCAACACCATGAAAGGAAGGAACCAAACTCAACAAACAAAATAACCAATACCAGAGGAATCTGAGTTCATAGAGCCAAGAGATAGGGACTTTGAGGGATATATACATCACGGCTTCAGAGGGATAAGGGAAGATGTGAAACCCATGACCCAAGAACAAGCGGTTATGAAAAGTAGCCAATGAGAGAGATCATGGGAAAGAACTGGGATTAAACATTCAGGAGCTGGGTCTTGAAAGGTTAACATAAGGAGTTGGGATTCAGTCCTAAGGTCATGGGAAGCCTTGGAAGAGTTTTAAGCAGGATAGAGGTGATCCACTTACATTTTGAAGATGATTCCAGCTGTTGTGTAAGGAAAAAAGTGATAAGAGACAAGTATGAAAGTGGAATAGTGGCTGGGTTAGGATGCTGGTGGCTTGGGCTAGGCTGATGGGAGTAGACATGGCAACAAGTTACATGACTATGGATGTAATCTGGAGGTAGAATTGCCTGAACTTACATTTGGATTGTACATGGGGGTGAGAGAAAAGAATGTCTCCCAGGTTTCTGACTTGAAACACTGGGTGGGTGGTTGTGTAGTTTACTGAAATGGGGGACACTGGGGATGAAGAGGTAGGAGGGGAGTACTCAAAAGTTCATTTTTTTAGTATGTTAGTTTGACATACCCAAGAGCACTCAGATGGAAAGGCCGTTGATATACAAATCTGGGCTCAGAGGAGAGATCTGGGCTAGAAATATAAATGTGAGCGCTGTTGATGTATGAATGGTACTCGAGTCATAGGAAAGGCTGAGACCACCTGGGAAAGTGAAAGTAAGGAAAAGGATACCAAGGAAGTTCAGCATCAAGCTGCCGAAGAGAGGTGGTCCAGGCAGTAAGAAATGATAAGCAGGAACTACAGAGAGTGTGTTGTATCGTGGAAGCCAAGGGGACAGTGTTTCAAGGAAAAAGCGGTCCACTGTGTCAACTGCTTCTGAGAGACAGAGCAAGAAAAAAACCAAAACACAGACATGTCTACTGGATTTGGCAACACTAAAGTAGCTGGTGACCTTGACAAGAGTAGTTCAAGTGCACTAGAAGTAGGGGTAGTGGTTGTGGGGAGTCAGATTTATTTTATTTTATTTTATTTTATTTATTATTAGTTTCATGTGTACAATACAATAGTTATCCTTTTCACCTCTCACAAAGTAACAAACACTCCCCTCCCCATCCACTGCCCCCCCCCCCCGATGTCATACTTANTCATACTTATCTATTACAATTCCATTGACTGTGGGGAGTCAGATTTGAATGCGTTGAAGGATTTCTGGGAAGAGGGGACCTACTTTTAAGTCTGGCTATTTAAAATGGGTAGCTAGGAAGGGCAGCAGAGGGAGATGGGAGGATGAGGGAGATGGGGATGTGGGAACAAGGAACCACCCCTGCTCTTTTTCTTTAGATCAGAAATAGCAGAGAATATTTACAGAATGCCAATGCAAGCAGTTTGAATTCTAAGTGCAGGTGGAGAGGATAACAGAAAGCTTTGGGAAGGTGAGAGAAGAACATGACCAAGAGCCCAGTAGGAAGAGTGGCTTTTGATAGGAAGGGGATTCCTAGGTTCTCTGTTGTGAGAAGACAAAGGGAATCCAGTCTAGAGGCTTCTAGTTCCTCAATGAAGCATGAGACAAGGTCATCATCAGCTGAGAGTGAGTTGTTAGGAATTTGAAGAGGAAGAAAAAGTCCTTGGGAGAATCGAAAAAGCAAGATTGCTGAACAGGTGCAACAGGATTGCCAGGAAGTGTCAGTGTCCATCTGAGATAAAAGGTTTAATTTAAGGAAGAGAGGGATGCTTCTACATCAAAAAGCAGCTGCAAACACCATACGAATGAGGCAAAGATGGCCAAAACACCACTCTTATTTCAATACTAGTCTCAGGGCCTTACTAACATAAATAAGAAATAAAATGTATAAAAACGAAAAAGAAGACCCAAAAAATCTTTATTTGCAGCCAATATAATAGCCTACTTAAAATTTCAATTAAGCAAGTAAAAGATTGTATTAGGATTAACAAGAGTATTCAGCAAGTTGGTTGGCTGCAAAGGTTATTTGTATTTAGGAAAGAAAAAAAATCTCATTCACAATGACAACATCTATAAATATCCTATAACATACTTTTTCCACCCTGCTGTTAGCTATGTAGCAGAAGACAAGTAAAGCAATTGTTGCCACAATGTACAGTTGGTGCATCTCTCATCCACCTGAGACCACAGAATAGAAACTAGGGTCCACGGGCCAGTTGTCTTTCTGGGTACACATCTTGGGAAGGAACAAGGTGAGAGCACTGGTTGAGTTAAGAGCACTAGGTAAGCCCCGACACAGCCACTTACAGAAGGAAAAACAAGTAAAACAAGCCTGGAAGGGCACCTTCTAAAAGTAGAATTTTTGTTTGAAATTGGCACAAAAAGCAGCCAGTAATTTTGCAATTAAATTTAAAAAAGCACAAACATCGATTTTTAGAAATCCTGTGTCTACCAGAACAAGCTGTGTGACCTTGCTCAAGTTACATGGCCTGTCTGTGGCTCAGTTTTCTCATCTGTAAAATGGGCACAATATAAAATTGTGATAACTCAAGTAAAGAGTTTAACACAATGCCTAGTTAGGGGTAAGCACTCAATAAATGCTAGTACATCAAGAAGAAGTATTAGGAGCCAGGTTGTCTGGGCCAGTCCTTTCTCCTTGGAACTGCCTTCCCTAGGCCCTCGCAGGGCTTGGAACTTGGTTCCTGCCCCGAGCAGATTCTGGAAGGCCCGCGGACCAGGAGCAGGGAGATCGGGCTCAATTTTAGGCTCAGCAAACGAGCCTTGGTTTTCTTGTCTGTGAAATGGGCACGCGCACCTGGCCGTGCCCAGCTCACAGACAGGCTGCAGGGGGACAGCTTGGAGGGAAAGGGGCCGTGGCCGGTTACCTGCGGGGGCGCCCCGCCGGCGGGGGCTGGGGGTCGGGCTTGCAGTGCGCCTCTTAGGGGTTTGGGGCTTGCGGCTCCGACGGGGCGGGTCCATGGAAGGCGAGGAAGGTCTCGGCCCCGCGGTTTCTTCTCCGCCTTCAGGATTCGAGGGTAAAGGCTGGCGTCTGCGGTAGGCTTAGGAGTGCCCTAGCCACGTGTGCCAGCCGGGCGGCTGCTCCGGTGACGCCCGTCCCCCTTGGGTTCAAATGGCCCACTCAGCCGATTCATTGCCGGCGTTTTTTAAAACCCGAATCCTGCGACTCCTAGTGGCTGCCTCTGGAGCAGAGCGACTGCGGGAAAGACCAATGAGAGCACAGAGCGAGGGATTAACGGCGGTAGTGATAGGAGGAGGAAGAGGGGATCGTCGGTGGAACCAGCCAGTGGACACTTGGAGAATTGAAAACAGGCGGAAACTTTCACTCTACGTGTTTGTGAGGGTTGCTGTCAGACCCAGGTCCTCGGGTGTCCTCTGGTGGAAAAGGGAAAGCTAGACTCTGGAGAAAAGCTCGACTCTGGAGATGTATTGTAGGTGGTGTGTTTGTAGAACGCGTTTCTCTAGACAAATCACTTTGCTCAAATATTTTATGCTTTGCCTTATCAATCCTGATGAGGTAGTTTTTAAAGATGAGGAGGCAGACCCACGGAGAATGTGATAACCCCACGCTGTGCCTGTGACCCTTCCGGGAACACCCCACGAATGACTCAAAAGCCAGTTTAACTGCATGAACATCATTGATTAGGGTCGTGGGACAGCCAGGATCCCAGCTCTGTAGATGGGGTCAGTCAGGCAGGGCAGACCTCAGTACTATTCCTGTGTCACACTCCCCAGCACTGCAATAGAATCGTCCAAGGGAAATAAGCCCTTTCCTTCCCGTTGTGGATAACAAGTATTCAGGTCAAACGTAGTTAGAAAAGGAGGTGGGGGAGGGTTGTTTTCTATGCTTTGCTTCCTTGCATTTTCTAAGTGTTCTACAGTTAGCATGAACTATAATCAGGAAAAATGTCATTGCAAAATTAGTGATTTCATGGAACCCTTGTTCACTATTGGTGGGAGTGTAAATGGTACAACCACATTCTACTGTTTTCTACAACCATATGGTAATTGGTCATAGAATTAGCACATAATCCCCCAATTCCACTTCTGGGTATATGCTCAAATGAATTAAAAACAGGGACTTGAACAGGTGTTTGTACACTAATACTCATAGCAGTGGTATCCACAGTAGCCAAAAATGTCCACATGGCTAAACAGATAAACAAATTGTGGTATACACCTACAATGGAATATTATTCAGCCTTAAAAAGAAAGTTAAATTCTGACAACATGGATGAACCTTGATGGCATTATGTTAAGTGAAATAAACCCAACACAAAAGGGCAAATACTGTGATTCCACTTATATGAGGTCCTTAGAACAATCAAATTCCTAGAGACAGAAAATAGGATGGTGGTTGCCAGGGGCTGGGGAGTTAATGTGTAATGGATATGGAGTTTCAGTTTGGGAAGATGAAAAGGTTCTGGGGATGAATGGTGATGGTTGCACAACAATGCGACTATATTTAATGCCACTGAGTACACTTAATAATGGTCAAAATGGTAAGTTTTACATTGTGTATATTTTACTGGAAGGAAGGAAGGGAGGGAGGGAGGGAGGGAGGGAAAGGAAAAAAGAAAAAGAAGGAAGGAAAAGGAATGTTTGATTGAATCCAGTGAGGTGCAATCAAATCACAGAAAGATGATTGTTTTTCAGTAATCCAGGTCAACACAGAGGCAAGAAGTCCAGGTACACCAGTTCTCAACACCCATTAATCAGACAAGGCAAATCTTCACTTGTTAATTCTGCTTTAGACATATAGCTCCTACTTTGCTCTATTGAAGTGGAAAACAAGGTAGAAAATAGAGGATTCTTCTTCTTTTAGATTTCACATAGAAGAGAGATCATACTGTATGTGCCATTCTTTGACTTATTTCACTTATCATAATGTCCTTACACAACCAGGTCTCTGAAAAGTCAGAGTCTCCTTCTTGAGTGGTTCTTGTATTTATCTTCACCACCATTTCCCTACTTCAGACCCTAATTCATCAAAGGTGGCCTTACTGGCCTTTAGTTCTTCCTAATGCTAGTCAAACCTGTCTCCATATAACTGAGTGATCTTCCCAAACAACGATTTGGATCATGTCACTCATTTGCCTAAAACTCTTCAGGGCACCCTATTGTCTACAGAGAGAGAGCCCTGACACTTCACTGACTCCTAAAAGGCATAGCACTATCTGGGAGGCTACCCTGCTCTAGCCTTGTATCTGGCCACTTCCTGTGTGGCATGCCTATTGCTAGGTTTTCCAGTCTACTTACTTGTAGTTCTCAAATACATCACCTTGTGACATATGTTTCTGGTGTTTTTTTGTGTTTTTTTTTTAAATTTTTATTGGGTAACAGTGTGTTTTTTCCCAGAACCCATCAGCTCTAAGTCAAGTCATTGTCCTTCAATCTAGTTGTGGAGGGCACAGCTCAGCTCCAAGTCCGGTCGCTGTTCTCAGTCTAGTTGCAGGGGTCGCAGCCCACCATCCCATGTGGGAATCGAACTGGCAACCTTGTTGTTAAGAGCACTTGCTCTAACCAACTGAGCCATCTGGCTGCCTGCTGGCAGCTCAGCCCAAGTCGTTATCTTCAATCTATTGGGTTGCCGGAAAAGTCATGACGTATTTTTTCTATGTTTTTCATTGCAAAAATGCGTCATGACTTTCCCGACAACCCAATAGTTGCAGAGGGTGCAGCTCATTGGCCCATGGTAATCGAACCGGCAGCCTTACTGTTCAGAGCACTGCTCCAACCAAGCCACCCGGCCGCCCGTTTCTGTGCTTTTTACAAGCTGTTCCTGCTTCCTGGAATACTTCTTTCCCTCCTCTCATGCCACCAAGCCTAGAGGACTCCCGCCCATCCTTCAACACTCAGCTCAAGTGGGGCCTGTCTCTGAGTTCCAGGCAGAGTTAGCTGATCTCTCCTGTACGCATCTCATATAAAGGCCTCTTTGCACAGCATGCTGTACTGGAATTCTTTCGTTACACATTCATCTTTCCTGTTTTCTTTGATGGAACCAGTCCTTGGAGCACATCTATTCTCAATAAACCTTGTTGAATTCTGGGATAGAGATCTCTTATTAAATTTTTGTGTTTTTTTAACAAGGGTTCTTAATGAAGAAGGGTTATTTATAAACTTTCATGGCTATATAGAGAGCCCTCTGCTGACCTTGGGTTTTGAAAGAATGTAGTCAACAAAAGGCCAGGGGGCTCTAAAGCAATACAAATATGAAAGAATGGTATTGATCGATAAGTGGGTCAAAGGGATGAACACATTTGGGACTGCCAAGAACCTCTCCTTTTCATAGGTAGCCAAGGTCTTGAAAGATAACATGACTTGTCCAAGGTCATCCAGTCAAGGTAGAGGCAGGGCTGAGGACATAGCTGACTCCTAAGTTTGCTTCTTTCCCCTACACCAGGTGGCCCTTTGCTCCAGTCCTCTGCCATCCTCATCAGGGGTCAGCGCTCTGACCTCCTGGAGTGCTGCTTGCTGGTTAAACTATGCAGAGACCTTTGGACAAAGTGAAGGCAAATGGAACCACTTGGCATGTTCCTAAATCTCTGCTTTGTAGGCAGATTCCTGGCGAGAGGAGCCTGAGGCCTACTCCAGGGCCTAGGTGGCAGTCCTGAAGGAAGCCCCAGCCCCAGGCTCCCCCAGGACCACTCTGAGGGGCAGGGGCTGACCAGTTCACCACGGTACAGGTGGTTTAAATTACATTGTATTTGAATCAACGTTTACGGAAGTCTGATACCAGTCAATTCTTATTTGGGGGGTCAGGGCCTCTATGCCAATCTTCCACCATTTAGGGCCTCCTTATTCCATTTAGAATGGTAGGCGACAGCCAGACATTCCTTATAACCCTCCAGACTCAACAGGAAAGTAGAGGTTCTTACTTCCATCTACATGATGAGCACAACATAGCAAAGCCTCTCAAATTCACCCTCCAAAGCACCCCTGACAACGGAATGGAGCGAACACATCTCCAGAGGCTGGGAGGGTGCCCACTGTCAGCATAAAAATTTTCTGGAGGCTTCTGTTTTATCCTCTATTGCTATAATTGATATGATTTTATATTTTACTCCATGATGATATTTTAATAAAACATTTCTTCCCCTCTCAGCAAAGCTGATGCCATGCTGTGCTCAGCTGGGACTTCAGTGCCCCTGACAGACCACCCTGGTGGACAGTTGAGCCTAACATATACCCCGCTGTGTGTTAACATTTATAGGCACCTGTGATTTATTCATCTTACGTAATTTTCATGCTCATCCTGCTAAATGGAGGCTGGCTTTCCCATTTTTGAGAGATGAAGACCCAAAGCTCCAGGAGGTAAAGCGATTTGCTTGAGTTGGTGGCATCCCTGATGGGGTGTCCCTCTCCTTATGCTTTGCCACCCCTCCCCACTGAAGTCCCACTACAATTCTCCCCAAGCCTTCAATGTTAAAATCCACACAGGCCCCCATGGCAGCGCTCACATTAAGGCCAACTGCTTCCCTAACACCCTCCTAAGCGGTTTGCACAGTTGAGCGCACAGGCTGGGCAGCCGTGGCAAAGGAACATTCCTGGATTCTTGGTACAGGCTCCTGGCAGCACTCCCTGTGGCAGAAAGCGGTGAGCAAGGTCTGGGAACCAGGAACTCTGGCTTTGCCTGTCACTGGCTGTATGACCTTGAGACGTTCCTTCCTCTGAACAGTGTATGGTGGACTGGGTGATTTCTAGGCTTTGGTCATTAGAGCTTTACGACCCAACAACATTCTAGATGCCACCCCAGAACGTCCCAACCCCGGGGCTCCTTCCGTCATTTAAAAAATAGTCCACATGCCAATTTCCCTTTTATTTTTTTAAAACAAAGCCTAAAACAACATTCTAAGGCCTGATTTTGAACAAGGCAGGTGTAGTCCCCACCACTCTCCTGTCCATTTCCTTCTTCCTATGACACACACCATGACCCAGAGATGCTCAGGGGCCCCTGGGACTCAGAGCTGGTGGGATGGAAAGACTCTCCTCTCCCAGCAAACTTTAACCTGCTGGATTCCCACACAGCCTAAGGGTTTTGCTTGTCAAAGATGCCTTTCTCCGGAATCTATTTTAAGGGAGGCATTTGGTGTTTTATGATTGAGCTGCCCAGGAAAATGGTCTGAGGCTCCAGAAACTGCCATGGAGTGAAGAACGCTGGAATGAAGGGCCACTCAGCTCCTTGGAGTCTCTGATGTCAGTCTTCTCTCTTGGGAGGGGGGTGGGGGATGGGATGTGGGAGGGGGTTTACTGGGAGGACACCAGCACATGATGCTTCTATCTCAGCCACAGGAAATTTTCCCCAAAGATCCCAGACCCATATGGTAGGTGGGGCCACAGATTTAAAATCAAGCAAACCTTGCTTGGAATACTGGCTCCATGAGGAAGTCACTTAACCTTCTCTGGACCTTGGTTTTCTTGATCTGCACCAACCTGTGCAAGTTGTTACGCACGAGAATAGAAGTTAAGCACTTGATACAATCCTGAGATGCCAGAATTACTCTGACTGGCAGAATCCTGGTCAGTCCATCGCCCTGGAGGGTGCTCATGGAGTCAGGTTGCTGGGGGTGCGGCTGAGGTCCAGATGTGCTCTAGATCCCAGCCTGCGGCAGAATCACGTGGCTTGCATGGCCAGAGCCCATGGCAGGATACCCCTCTTGCCAAACAACTTATAATTCTGGGCCTCAGTTTCCTTCTCTTTAAAATGGAAGGTGCAGAGTTCATAAAAGCTGGTATCAAGGGCTGCCTGGAATCCCCCTGTAACCTCTCCCAGGAAGAGAGGCCCTGAGGGTGTGTAAGAGCAAGGACACGAAACATTATAACAGGCCTGGGAAGGAGGCACTGCGGACAGAGGGGAATGTCCAATAAATGGGTTGTTACTCCTTTCCCAGGTTGGTAAAAAATCACAGGCCCATGGAGTAGGCCCAGCTGGGGATGGAAGGCCCTGAAGCCAAAGCCACAGCGTCGATACCTTCTGCTTTACAGAGCAGGACGCCGAGGCCCAGAGCCACGAGGTAATGAGTGGGCTGGGGAACATACACTGAGTTTGCGAAACCTAGGGCCCCAGACAAGGTTAAGGAATATCTTACAAGTTTTAAAAAATACAATACTTAGTTCTGGTTTGAATTTGCTCCCTCGCCTCTCTTTGGAGAACCAATTGTAGCTTATGATTTAGGAGGAAATCCTAGGGTTGTTAGTTCCTACAATTCCATTTTAAGATTTAGTTTTACTGCTGCCGGAGGGGTTTAGGGGGTTGGAGAAATTAGTTGGGCTCAGTCACTGCACTCACACCTGTGGGGGCTGGGTAACACCTTTCTACAGGGGATGGTGACAAAGGAGGACCTGGGTATCATATCATCTTCTGGGGCAGCAGCTGTCCTGCCTATCTGTGGAGAGGACGGGCAGGGTGAGGCCTTGGGGACAGGGCACTCTTGAGGCTCACCAGCCCCTGTGGCCTCAGCCTCAGGGCAAACAAGGTCCATCCAGGTGGCAGCAGAGGCCCCGCAGAAGGCTCAGCTGGCATCATTGATGGGAGTCCGAGAGGCACCCAGCAGTCTCTCACGCTCACCCTCCTCTGCCGGGTGCCGGGCCCGGGACAGGCAGCTCAGCAGTGGGCGGTGCAGCCCATTGTAGAGGGCAGTGCCCATCAGGAGGATGAGAAAGCCGAGGATCTGCAGTGAGTGGAAGGCCTCCCAGCCCAGTGCCAGGCTCAGTGCCCAGATGACAATGGTCCGTAGGCTGTCCAGCACCATGCGGGTGGTGGCGCTCAGCTCCTTGGTGACACTGATGCCCGCAAAGTTGAAGAAGGCAATGCTGCTGATGTTGCCCAGCAGCGCCAGGGCGATGAGAGGCTGCCGGCCCACCTGGCAGAAGGCGTCCAGCGCATCCTCCAGTGTCCCACGAGGGCTTCCACTGAAGGAGCCGGCAGGGATGTAGTACATGGGCACCAGCAGCAGGGAGAGGATCACAAAGCCAAAGAGGCCTGCAGGAGAGGAGGAAGCTGGTTGTACTCTCCGCTCGGCCCTCAGGCTCCCAGCAAGGCCTCCCCTGATCTCCCGCCATCCCTCTGAGTGGCCCTCACACCAGGATCTTTCTTTTAGGTCCTGGAGACATCCATCTCACCAGGATTTCACAGTTGCCTACTGAATGGTCTCTAGCTGCCCTATCTCTGTGTTAATCTGTGTATTCTGACTGGACCAAGAGTAAGAAATACTTTTTATATTGTGACCAGTATATGTGTGCACAGGCACACTTTCACAAAGCAACAGCTACCCTTATAATGTACAATGTTCTTAGACACTTTTAAATTCTAGTCTATTCATTTAAAAAAGAATTGCTGGCCATAACCACTATAGTGCTCCTAAGTGTGGAAAAACATGGCTCTCTCATTCAGTGGCATTGGTCTGTGACAAAGAGATGGACCAGAATATAAATCGATGCACTGCTTCATTCAGAAAGTCTTGCTAGAAAACAAAAAAATGAGCAGAAACAAACACTATGTTTAATGATGTCGCTAATGTGGTTGATTAACATGCTGTAAGCCCTCTCAGCTCACTGTGGACCAGGACAAACAGCTCCCTGACTGATCCACAGGCCACACTTTGGTGACACTGCTCTAAAGCACCCTGTTAGTTTCCTGTTTTTAAAGCATAATTTTGACAGTTGCTTCCCTCCTCAAAAACCTTTGGTGGTTCCTCTCTGCCTGTCATTTAAAGTCTAAATACACTTGCCTGATATTCAAGGTTCTCCATGATAGGACCTCGACCTATTCAATTCCTAACCATTTCCCCAACATCAAACCTGTATCTCACCCAAACTATTACTCACTGGTCTCCAAACTCATGTCCAGCTCCCCATGTCTTCACTCTGCCTGGAGTTCCCTCCTTCCCACTCTTCCTGTTGAAACTGCAGCTCGAATGCCACCTCCCCTGCCCCAAGACACTCAGCGAAGCCTGGCAGGTGAAAATCACTTGAGCACAAATAGTCTGAGCTAAGGCGCACTGCCTGGTCCTTTCTTGCTGGTCAGCTCCTCTAGAGGGAGGCTTACCTCTCATTCATCTTCGTTCTTGTCCTCCCTGAGCTCCTGACCATGTGCACAGCAGATATCAGAGTATATGGCAACACATTGGTGGTGAAGGGAGGAAGGAATGGGGGGCTCACCCCTCCCAGTGCCCCTGGTACCTGGTCTTGTGCTCCTACATGTGCATTCACGCCACGTGGCCCCCCGACCAATGCCCTTCTCCCAGCCCGTGCTCACACACCCTCAGTGCCAACGGCTCGCAACGGGTGCACGTTGTGCTTGTAGATGAACTTCTCCTCTAGCACCATCTGGATGGCGACGATGATCTGGGCCATGATGATCAACAGGTCCCCTGTGGGAAAGGATCAACAGGGTCCAGGGTGAGGGAGGCAGGGACACAGCAAGGCTACTAGGCTGTTGGCAGCGTGGTGGGCCCAAAGTTGAGGGAGACAGCACCCATGGGGACATAACATGCACAGCTCTGACTTTCGTAGGCACCATACAGTTCACAAGGCACAGTCATAACTGCCCCCTGCCTGACCTCCTGGCCCCTGAAGGGTGGGGCAGGCTGGCAAGCCTCTGGGCTGAGGCCCCCGAAGGGGTAAGCAAGTCTTTTTGAGAAGTACAGGCTTTGAGGCAGACATTCCTGGTTTACTTCTGCCTCTGAGTGACCAGGGTGGTCCCTTCATTGTAAAATGGGCTGCACTGCTTCCTTTCTGGGATCGTGAGGATCACTGTGATGGCAAACACCAGTGCTCGGAACCAGGCTGGGCACTTGGTAAGTGCTCAGTTCACTTGGTAAGTGCCTTCCCTATACTCTATCCATCACCTCGAGAGCAGGTCCATGTCCACACCAGCTGGTCCCCACATGTCCTCCCCCTGAGCTTGACACACAGCAGAGCTTGTAAAAGTTTGCTGAATGACTGTGCTGGGCCCTTAGAGAGGACAGGATGGGACAGGAAGGGCAGCCCTTGGATCCCCGAACCCGACCACACCTGTGATCACTTCGCTGAGCTTGTGCTGGTCGTCATGCTTGCTCAGAAGGTCAGCCAGGCCCACGACCACCAGCCCTGCGATGGTTGAGAGGATGCCCAGCCACTGGCTCAGCGCCAGTCTCCGCCCTAGGAAGGCCACTGAGAACAGGCCTGTGAATATGATCACTGCTCCCCTCAGCATCTGGAAGCTGGAGGCACTGGTCATGTTCAAGGCTAGGAGAGGACAGACACACGACGTTAGCTCTCGAGGGTCAAGGCTGTCTGTTCACGTAGGGTGTCCTCAGTACTGAAGATGTACCTCCCACATAGTATGTAATCTTGCGGGGGGAGGGGCATGTGTGTGACAGTCTACGGGAGAGGGGCAGGGGTGAGATGAAGATGAGCTGGGGGTAGAGGTGGCTGTTTCACCAGTGGCTCCCTTGGGTCATGGGCTTCACTGAGCTCTTCTCAGCCTGGCTTGGCTACTCACCCACATACATAATGCTGGTCCCGGTCATGTCACAGAGGGCTGGGGGCAGGAAAAGAAGGGGGTTGAAGGGCTGCTGGGGATCCATGCTGGTGTCTGGGTGCCTCGCAGCTCTGCACCGGAGTAGGTAGAAGGCAGCCAGGCAGGAGAACTCCCCCAGGAACATGCCCACTGCCTGCAGAGACAGAACCCTAGGAGTTTAGAGCTGGAAGGAGGGTCACTTTTAACAAAAAAAATTTAACATAACCTTTCTTCAAACAAGAGCTTACCTATAACCCCAACACATAAAACAGGCAAAAACAGAGCTGCTGTGTGCGGGAGGCCCAAGACTGATTCCTGGGTCTACCCCTAAGACTCCCGAACATCTTGACGCAAACCCGAAGGCTGTGTAGAGCCTGGTCTGAAAACCACTAATCTAGGCCAAACCCTGGTCAAGCTCCAGATGGAGAAACTGCGGCCCAGAGAGGCTCAAAAACTTATTTAAGGTCACAGAGAAAGTTGCTGGCAGAGCTGGGGCTGAAATTTGAGTCTCCTACTTCCCAGTTGAGCAATGAGGTGCCTCCTATTTATGGTGTCTGCCCTGTCCAGCTGGGTCTGGGCTTCCGGCGGATGGAGAGCAGGTTTTGCTATGAGGGTTGTTTTCCAAATGTATTCTGACTTGAATTTGGTGAGGGCTGGCCTCACGGTGCTCAGGACATGACCATTCACCAGGACTTACTCAGGCTTCCCGGAAAGGACTGTGCCCTCTGCTCCCTTCCAGAGGCACTTACACCCTGGCCTGTGTTCTGGGAAGGGAGAGAGAACTGGGTGGCTTTTCTGGAAGCAGGAGAGGACTCCATCCCTCTCCTGGTCAGGAAACAGCAGGGCCTCCCGGGGCGCCTGGCCTGAGGCCTGGCAGATGGGAAGGGAGGAGGACGGGCAGATACCTGGAGGAAGGGATGCTGGAAGCTGTGCTCCTCACTCTCTCCACAGCCCCGGGCCTTAAAGTTGTCCGCCCACCTGCAGCAGAGAGAGAAGGTCAAACCCTGCAGCGTGGCAGGCTCTCCTGCCCTGGTCCTGGTACCTGCAGACAAGCTCGCTCCTCCCAATGCCAACAGGCTAGACTTAGGGGACTCGGCCCAGAGTAAGGCTCCCTCTCAAAGGGACCAGTTTCCATGGCAACGAGTATTCATCTGGGACCACGGACAGAAAGTGGGGGCCTGGGAAACTTTAACTGAAATTTCATGAACCTCTCACTGAAATTTAGCATTTCCTCAAATTACGAATGTACCATTGCAATACCTGCAAGTTTGTCACAAAGAAATCACAGCTATTCTCATTTTCACATTGGAGCTGTTACAGATATTGTGAAGTAGCATTTACACTTATCACTATTCTGAAATGATAGTAATTAGACCCATTGCTTCTAATTTTACAAGGTATGATCAGAAAATATGGTGATTGTTTACATAAAAAAATTTATTACAGTAAAAGACACATTGCCATTAATCCCCCTCAAAACACTCCCCCTCGCTTCGGACATACTTATCCCATTGTTCTTGCCACTTTCTGAAGTAGTTCTGGAAATCCTCTTTCGTGAGTGTCTTTAGTTGTGTTGTCATGGCTGCCTTGATGTCCTGAATTGATTCAAAATGTTTACCTTTCATGGTCCTTTTTGGGGAAGAGCCAGAAGTTGCACGGTGCCAGATCCAGTGGACAAGGTGGATGAGGACACACCATAGTTTTTGACAGAAATTGCCGTACCAGAAGCAATGTGTGACACGGATTATAGTGAATACTGCTGCTGAGTGCCATCCAACGGAAAGGCAGAGACCTTCAATATGGGAAGCATCACACTGAACCTTAGTAACAGTGTATGACAAGTTTCAACTTGTCCGGGGCAGTCATTCGGGTGTGAGCTACAGTTGAGAGGTGTGTTTTAAAGTGGGCTGTAAAACATCCTCCATCATGACAACGCTCCGTGTCACACATCGCTTCTGGTATGTGGTAATTTCTGTCAAATGAAAACATTATGGGGCCGGCTGAGTGGCTCAGTTGGTTAAGAGTTGGCTTAAGAGCATGAGCTCTGAGCAACAGGGCCGCCAGTTTGATTCCCACATGGGCCAGTGACGCTGCGCCCAAGCTGAGCTGTCGCTGAGCCAACAACAGGTGGCAGGATGGCTCAGCTGGTGTAACAAGATTGCCTGTTCAATGGTGGGCTACGCCCACCCACAACTAAGACTGAACTCGGCACCTTGAGCTGAGCTGCCGCCCATATGGCTTGGTGGATAAAGCATCCGCTCTTAACAACAAGGCTGCTGGTTCAACTTCTGCATGGGATGGTGGCTACGCCTACATGCAACTAAGATTGAAAACAGCACCTTGAGCTTAGAGGCCACGAGCTGCTGACGGGAAGCCAGATGGCGACTGGCGCCCTCCACAATGAAGATTGAAGAACAACAACTTGGCTGGTCCCCTTCCCCAATTCCCCAACACTGTTCCCTTCTCCCAATTCTCCAATAAAATCTTAAAACAAAAACAAAACAAAACAAAAAATTACGGTGCGTCCTCATCTACCTTATTCATTGGATCTGGCACCGTGAGACTTCTGGCTCTTTCCCAAAGTCAAAATGATTCAGGACATCAAGGCAGCCACAGACAGCGTAACTGAAGACACTCAAGGAAGAGGACTTCCAGAACTGCTTCAGAAAGTGGCAAGAACGATGGGATAAGTGTGTTCGAAATAAAGGGGAGCATTTTGAGGGGGATTAATAACAATGTGTCTTTTACTATAGTGAAATTTTTTAAAACATTCGCTATAATGTTCGATCACATCTTGTATGTGTTAAGAAGTATATACACACAATTCTATATCACAAACTTGCTTTTTAATGTTTTGATAACTTTATTTCAACAAATTGGATTTTCCTATAATCCTCAGTTTTTTATTTTCACGTTAAAACATTACTTTAGGAAGTACATTTATTTGCACATTTAAAAACAATAGGATTCACCAGATTATCAAAGGGATCCCTGGCACAAAAATATCAAGAGCCATTGGTCTACAAGGGCACTTGAGCTCTGGGAAATGACTGCCTGACACTGACCACCTGGTCACCTTCATAAAACCCGAGGGCTTGGAGGGTCTTTCTAGCACAGACCCTAAAGCAGGTGGCAAGTATGTGGCACTAGTGGAGCGGCCTCCCAGCTGGCATGCTAGCAGATGGCATAACTGATTATGGCATGGTTCCCCACTGAGTCCAGACACAGGCCCAGGATCCTTTGTGGCATAGTGCTCTGGGCGGCTACCATCAACATTCTTCATTGTCCACCATCTGTGTGTGCTAAAGCTCCCATCCCTGAATTTTATTTTTGCCGGGTCTAGTATGATCTCTTTCATTTGAAAGCCCTTCAGATATTGGGAGACTTTTCCACCTTCTGAATCTTCTCATCTTCTGGCTAAACAGCCCCAGCCCTTCCTAACCTTTCACTTCCCTGGCTGCTGACGTCTGGAAATGCTCCAGTGGGCCCAGGGCCTGAGCCAAGGGCATGTGATCTGGTCCAGACCAAGCTTGGCTAGATGGTGGCCCTTCCCTCATGTTGGATGTCCTGGTTAGTTGATAGGACTTCAACTGTGTCCGCCACATCACACTGCCGACTCCAGCCAACGCAGACCCAGGGCTGGTTCCTGTGGGCCACTGACCAGCTCCCTCTGCAGCGCCCCACACATAGGCAGTGGCTGTCTCTAAACTGAAAGACTCAGGACTTCTTAAACGTCTTTCCTTGCAATGTCTGTCAAGGGCAGCCATGCCGTGGTGCCCAGCCCTACTCTGCTTAGTCATCTCTACACAACCCTGAGCTCCAAAGGGCAGGGGAACCTTCTGCTTCCTGTGCCTCCTACAGAGCTGCAAGCATGAGCCACTGGTTGTGCCATCCGCTAGAGGCATCTTATCCAGCCCTGGTTTCTCTGTGCCCTGAGTTTGGGGAGGGGAACAAGCAGCTCTTTCCCATTGCCCAGGGCAAGGACATGACATCCGGATGCTAGCAGTAGGAAGGGCGGGCTGAAGGGTGGCAGGGCTCCTGGTCAACCGTGGGGGTGGCAGACCTGTGAGGGAGAGCCCATGTCTACACAGAGATCTGAACACATCCCAGGGATAGTGAACAAACAGGGCTGTGGCAAACTTATCTCACAGAAGGAGACCCCACCCACGCCCTGAGATGTGGAGAAAGAGGGGCAGTCAGGAGGGGCTGTGGTTCTTGGGAAAGGCAGGGCTCAAAGGAGAGCTGCAGGGCAGGGAGAAATTCTGGTATGACTGGATGGGAAGGCAGAGAGATCTGGGTTGGGGGACCAGTTACAGTCAGGCTGTAATCAGTCCCAGTACCAATGGAGAAAGGAAGCCCCCGCTACAGAATAAAACTACCTTCTCCCTGGGGTCTCATTTCTGCCTGCATCTGCTACAGGTTCTGGCTCTTGGGTCCCCAGGCAGGGCAGACATAGGATGGGGTGGGGACTACAGACAAACTGTGGCTCAGGGCAGGCCTGCTCTACAACCAGGCTCGCTTTTGCAGAAAGAGCCCTCTGGGAGGGTCTGGGTGAGGCAACTGAGCGAAACAGAGAGGTGAGGAAGAATGAAGAGGTCAAATTTTACTAAGGGCACAGAGCCAAGTGAGCAGGTCCGAGATAGGAATTCCCAGGACAGGAGCCAGGGATCCCCCAGGGGGGCATAGGGAGGTTATGCCAAGTCCGTAAGGCCAACCAGAAGCCTAGGACAAGGGCAGGTATGGAAGCCCCTCCCTCATCCTGGGGGCACACTCAGAGATTGGCAGACTCAAGAAGACCCTCAGGTCTAGTGGTGGGCCCACCTCCCAGAACCGTGCCCCTGGACTACTACCTAGGCAGCTTACAGTAATGACAACTCACATCTGTATCCCTTTCAGGTTCCACAGTCACTGTCACTTGAGAGTTGCACTCAGCATCCAGCAACTTCCACATCTCTCAATCCCCTGCTTCTGGCATATTACCATACAGAAGCTCAAACATTTCTTGGCTGAATGAATGAGGCTTCCAGACCACACCGAGCAAATAGGCAGGTACTACACAGCCCAGAGGCAATGTCTCTACAAGTCCTAATTTCCCACCTGGTATGAGGTGCCCCCTGGGGGTGGGACAAGCAGGGCCTGTCTTTCCCCAGGGTGGCGCACCATATAGAGTGCTGGCGCACCATACAGAGTGCTGGCGCACCATACAGAGTGCTGGCTGCAGGGTTGGTGCTGAGGTCCCATCCCCCACACCAAAGGGACGACTTTGCTTTCTCCAAGGGGTGGGTCTGCCTGAACAGATTGGGGCTGGCAGCGCTCCCAGCTGGGGAAATGGAGTCTTTTTGTATCTGAGGGCCTAGGGCAGGCTTGCCGCCAAGGGATTGGGTGTCATTGGACAGGCTACCCTGCCAGCCTCTCTTCAGGCCAGGGAAATCAGGCCAGGCACTTTGGGATGGAGTCAGGCCTCTCATCCTGGCCCCGAGACATACTTCGGTTCACAGGCGTCAGCAGGCACAGAAGGGCCCCAGGTAGCACAGAACAAGAACCAAAATCCAGCCCCAGTTCATCTGGGGATGACAGCAATGACCCCTAAGGTGGGATAACACTTGACTATTTTTGCAAAACATGTCTCTAACATGTTGTTTTTATTTTTTCACACGGGAATCGAACCAGCAACCTTGTTGTTAAGAACGCACACATGTGGGGCCGGCCGAGTGGCGCGATGGTTAAGAACTCGCTTGGGATGCCAGAGGGCCCCGGTTCGGATCCCACATACGAGGGCCAGTGACACTGCCCTC